AAATTAGCAGATTACATTAGTTAATCCTTATTTTTAAAAAGATGAATATAGCAAAGGTCAGTTAAATCCTCACTTTGACAGATGAGTCTAATTCTCCACTTCTACTAGAAAACGAGCGAATGAGCACTAGTTCCTTTGCAATATCTTTTATTTTTTAAAGGCAGATATAACCCACTCTGCAGTTTATAGAGATAGCTTCAGAGAAGAAGGTATGCAATACAGATATAGCCCATGTTCTTTTACCTATCAATATCTTCCAGCTTTTCATCAATGAGAGGTCCCATCTGATGACACATTGCTAAGATGACAAGATTGAAAAAAATGTAAGAAAACATAACAAAAGAAAGACTTTGATAGATTTCATAAAATGTAAGGAATAAAAGATTTGGAGTAATAAAAATGGTATTAATTAACCTTAGCCCACAGAACCCAAAAATGATTTTTCTTAAAGTATGATGGTGACAATCTAAAATATAGATCTCAAAAATTTTAAACACCATTTTCATTTTCTACAATTCTAAAATGTTGAATATTTAATTTGGATAGAAAAGTGTAAGAATTCAAATTCTACCCAAGACTTAAGTTGCATATAAAAATGCGCCTTGCTCAAGGAAGAGTGAGAAATGCTACATTTTTAATATTATTCTCAAAAACCATTTTGTAACATAACACTAGATATTAACCCTAATTATTCTTTATTTGCAAGGTAACTGGAAACAAGTTTTACCCTCGAGATGAAGTAGCTCTGGTAGATCCGGCTGATCATCGCTGGGGTCTGTACTTTGCAACATCTGTAGTAACTGGTCCATTTTATCCTACAAGAATTAAGCAGTTAATATAAAAAGCAGCCAACTTTTATGCAACATTATGTTCTCATTTCATTAACTAGATAATGGATATAGAACTTTTGTAATTCATAGTAACGAAGATTCCAATTTTGCTTTTATGCTCTTTATTACCACGTGAAGTCAGAGCCTTGAAAGCGCTTCCTATGTATTTTTGAAACTGTTAACAAAGATTCTCTTAAATGAGAAGAAATAGAGCCACATTTAAACTTACACCATGTGGGGTTTTCAGTCTCTTATGTCATGCTAGAGGATTTCACTTTGTTTGGGAGCAGCTTTGGTTTAGCCACATCAACAGGTATAACATCTCTCTCAAGAAGACACTGCTTATGACTAACAACTCAGTCATTACTTCTTCTCCCCCATGGTGAATACAGCAGCTGTTTCAGTAAGGCAGTGATCAGCTATATTACAGCTGTTCTTCTAAGTGGGGCTATAAGGATTTAATCTACATTTTCTTTCCACCAGTGTTTCACTTTGTCATGGAAGGAAGGAGGAAGACTTGTGGTTTCTCTATTCCATGTGGGAAAGGCTGGAAAGGTATCTCAAATCAAACTTAGATCTCTTTCAGAATCTCTTATTGTAAGGACCAATGGAACTAATAAAATCATCATTACATAAATACATCTCTACATTACATAACAGATCTACTCTACCAAAGAATACTAAAAACATTACAAACCTTTCTCCGTGCATAGTTTTTATGTGGTTATGCTACTATACATAGGTACATAGGGCAAATAATTTAAAGACTATTATTTCTAAGCAAAGTAATTATTTAAAACAAAAACAAAATCAAAAACCCTGTGCTCTGTGTGGAAGGAAAATAGTTTGAGAAATGAATTAATCGTTAGAGAGTGAAAGTGACACAAG